TCACGGTTTGGTCCAGTCCAGCAACCACAAAATTCCCAGTCAAGATCGTGTATGGTGTTTGTGTTTAAGAGTCAAATCCGAGACACCTATGTTCCTTCCTCCTCCTTTTCTTAGGCTTCTTTTGATGACCCTTGTAGAACTAGCTTCTAGGAAGATAGGCTAGGTCAAACTTAGATCACACTTTGAATTTAACCAAGTATAAGTGCAACAAAGAATATTGAAGAAGAAGTGAATACAAGAGTAGATTAGGAGATGACAAGTTTAGATGACACTAAAATTGTTTTCAGGATTCTTTAACTAGGGTAGCTTTGAATTGGTATATGCATCTTGAACGGGCCTATATCCTCTCCTGGAAAGATTTAGCTTATGCTTTCCTTAAACAATACAAATACTATATTGACATGGTTCCAGATAGATTTGAACTACATAGCATGTCTAAAAAGGATGGTGAGACATTTAAGGCATATGCTCAGAGGTGGAGAGAAGTGGCAGCACAAGTGGAACCTCCTTTGTCCGATAGAGAAACGGTAGCCCTGATCATTGATACTTTACAAGCACCGTTCTATGATAAGATGATTGGGAATATTTCATCAAATTTTTCTGATATAGTTATCATTGGGGAAAGGATTGAGAATGGCATGAGAAGTGGGAAGATTGTGGTTGACCCTGTTGGAATAGTTGGTTCAAGGAAATTTTCAAGTGGTGCAGGAAAGAAAAAGGAAGGAGATACAAACGTAGTGACATTCAACTCTCCTGGGATACCTAACAACAAGTCTCCTCATTTCTATACCCCTCACATGGCCTACCCAAATATTACTGCCATCTCACCATATCCTCAACAACCGGTCCATCAAGCTCTACAAGCTTCACCCGCAACACCTACCATACGACCACCTCAATCTACCCAACCATCGAACCAAAATCCTAGTCATACAAGGTCACAAAACACCCAAGATTGAAAACTGATTGAGTTTGACCCTATCCCTATGTCCTATATTGAGTTGTTCCCTCTCCTACTACAAAATTCATTAGTAGTACCTTGCCCGATAAAGCCTGTAGAACCACCATATCCTAGGGGATACGATACTAATTCCAAATGTGACTATCACGCAGGAGCTATTGGTCACTCCCTCGAGAATTGTAGAGCTCTGAAATTTAAGGTACAAAGTTTGATTAAGGCTGGATGGTTAAGTTTCAAAGAGGATAATCCCAATATCGGGAACAATCCTCTACCAGGGCATGGAGGGCCTATAGTTAATTCTATTGAGGAGAATAAAGAACAACTCATGATAAGGAGAGTGAAGGATGTAAAAACTCCCTTAAACCTCGTGATGTGATTCCTCTTGGAAGCACATGAACTCTTCAAGCCTTCACGGAGTTCCTTGGAAGATGCTTCAAGGAATGGAGTCTCCACAAGGCCCAAGGTGACCTAAGCTAGCGTGTAGCCAAGTCCCAAAGAAGAACAAGATCCTAACTCTACAAGGAGAAGCACTCAAGGAGGGTAGAGTAGGATGCAAAGTGACTTCGGAAGTGATGAAATTCAAAGAAGAATATCTCATCAATATATGATCCAAAGTGCTACAATATCCGGCCATGGGAAGATTTATAGGAGAAATTAGGTTAAGGGTTTAAGTTGGGTTCACCTAGAGTTAAGTAAAACCATGGTATGGTTAACTTAACTCTAGGCGCCAAAATTTGAATTCTAAAATTCAAATTTTGGTGCCAACCGGCCACCCCCTCCATGTGCACTCATTTGGATGTGATTTAGTATCCATTTGAGTTGCATTTCGGTCACACCATGTGCATGTGTGCACATGGCCGAAATGCACCTTCAAATGTCATACTAATGACATTCAAATGAAAGTGAACATGTTAACCTAAATTAACCCTAAATCTAAATGACCATGAAATGAAATTCCTATGCTACATGGCCGGAAATACAAGGCCCAAAAGAAATACAAGGCTCTAAGGCCCAATCCTATACTAACCCTAATCTAATGGGCTTGAATCAAAGCCCAACAAAATAAAGTGGTGGGCTTTCCTTGGGCTTGGCCCCACTCTTCATGCATCCTTCTTGCCATAGCCCTAGTAGTTGGGCCCTTAGCCCATGGGCCTCCTCCATCATTTTGTTTTTCGACGCATCAAGTGTAATACATGGATTAACTAAGAGAAACATTGGGTCAAAGAATACAAAAGTATCACCTTCGTTTGTTTGAGTGATTTCACCATTAAAGAAGACCAAAACACGGAAAGAAGAAGAAGAAGAAGAAGAAATTGTAGTAAACAAAGGGTTTATATATCTAGCTTTGAAAACAAAAATACTTGGCTCAATTGCACTATGCATTTGAAACCAAGAATGCTCTCATTTAAATAAAAGGTGGAGATAGGGTTCAATCAATGACACTTATGACTAAAGGCATTGGATTCCTGACACGCATGAATTAATGACACTCTAAATCAATGACACTCATGACTAAAGTCATTGGATTCTTGACGCACATGAATTAATGACACTCTAAATCAATGACACTCTAAATCAATGACACCCATGAATAAAGTCATTGGATTCCTGATGCGCATGAATTAATGACACTTTGAATCATTGACACTCTGAATCAATGACACCTATGACTAAAGTCATTGGATTCCTGATTCGCATGAATTAATGACACTCTGAATTAATGACACATTGCATAAATCAAGGGCATCCTTAATTAATGACATTATATATTAACTACAATAATTATAATGGTTACATCATTATACTGAAAATAAATTCAAAACAACAACTTAAACAAACTTCAAACATAGTAAATGAATAACAGAAACTCTAAACCATATAGCATTAGTTGTCCAACTTCATTTCTTGGTCAAGGTATCTTTCAATCCCATCCATCCCATGCAAGAATCCAATATATGTCATTATAACATACAATTTAAGACTTGTTAGGTCATGTAGTTTTGTGAACAATGAAAACATACACTCCACATCTTCATCATCCCTAAAACGACACGTTATATATTTATATACATCACCGATACATGAAATTGGGAAACGATAGTGGATGTCTGTGACAACTTTGTGATGAGGAAGATTAACGTTATTATTAATAGCCTGCTTAAGTTGTTGATAAGTCATCATGTTGCTTACCAGTAGGGTTTTAACCTCATTGCTAAAAAACGTATCTCTATACTTAGTGGAAACAATTTGTCCATCAAAATAAATAATGGCTTGAACAGTTAACAACTCTATTGATTCGATGTTTCAATCTGACGCATTTTAGCCTTTGTTATAGAACATTATATAGAACTAAAGCAACATGCTTGCAAGCTAATGTTGACAACCGTAAAGTGATTAGATTCCTGATGCTTTGGGACAAAGCAATTGATGATACTCTGCAAAAATTCATTGGATTCCTAACACTTTGTAACAAAGACAATGACACTCTACATAAAGCATTAGATTCCTAATGCAATGAGACAAAGAAATTGATGACACTCTGCACAAAGTCATTGGATTCTTGACACTCTAGGACAAAGACAATGACACTACATAAAACATTAGATTCTTGACACAATGAGACAAAGCAATTAATGAAATTCTGCACAAAGTCATTGGATTCCTAATGCTCTGTGACAAAGACAATGACACTCTACATAAAGCATTAGATTCTTGACCCAATGAGACAAAGCAATTGATGACACTCTGGGACAATGACAATGACACTCTACATAAAGCATTAGATTCTTGACTTAATGAGACATAGCAATTGATGACACTCTACACAAAGTCATTGGATTCCTAGCGCTTTAGGACAAAGACAATGAAACTGTGCATAAATCGTTAGATTCCTGATGCAATGAGACAAAGTAATTCATTACAATAATATTAATTGTCTCACTTTTTTGCACTATATATACACTACATACGTTCCAACCCTAAACACATAACAAAAGATCAATTCTCTTTAGCTATTGCATTCTTCAATTTCGTTGCTCTTGTTTTTATTCAAGAATGTTTTCTTCATCTTCAACTATGTTGTGGAAACAACACCTCCATAAGTCAAATGAAACTCATCTTATGGTAAGTTAATATGCGTTTCATAATCTTTACAAGAAATATTATTCATTACTAACATCTCAATTCTACCATATTCGCAGAAAACAAGTGGCCTAGTAATTCAATCTTACTATCATTCCATGCCTGCACCTGACCCAAGAATTGAACATTTGTTGGAGGTTGTTAGCTTTGCCGACGTTGCCAAAATCAGACATTTTAAAATCGATGATTGTCTAATAACGTCTTTGGTGGAGAGGTGGAGACTTGAGACACATACTATTCACCTCCCAATTGGTGAGTGCACGATCACTTTGGAATATGTGGCATTACAACCGGGTTTGAGGATCGACGGCAAACTAGTCACTGGACCAACTTTCTTTGACTAGGAAGAATTGTATTATGACTTGTTAGGCTGCTTACCTCCAAATGGCGAAGCTCTAATTGGCTCAACCATAAAAAAAATGGTTAAGAGACCATAAAATTGCACTACCAGATAAATCCACTGAATAAAAATTGCACCAGCATTATAGGGCATATATCTTAGGGTTGATTGGTGGTGTAATTATGCCAGACATATCAGGTAATAGACTTCACTTAATGTATTTATCATTGTTGGCTGACTTGGAACGTGTAGGACGATATAGTTAGGGTTCTACTTGTTTGGCACATTTGTACAGAAAAATGTGTAGGGAGATTTATCCATTGTCAAAGCAAATGGGTGGATGTTCTTTGCTTCTGCAATCTTGG